CCTGCCTGCCTGCCTGCCTGCCTGCCTGCCTGCCTGCCTGCCTGCCTTCCTTTCTTCTCTTCCCTCCCTCCCTCCCTCCCTCCTTCCCTCTTTCCTTTCTCACCAAACCAAATCCGGATCTACCTAAGATTAAAAACGAACGTTGTTGGCACAAAGCGGCCTCAGCTATAGAGCTTATTTACCCCTGAGAGAGAGGGGCTAAGGCTGCCTAAAGATTAAAGTTGGGCAACTGGGAAAAGCCCTTCACTTTTTTCTAGAATAAGAACTCTTTCTTGTTGATTTACACGTTTTCGCTGCTGGCGTGAATTCGACCTGCCTCGCTAACCGAAGTTGGATAAGAACCAAAACGAGCCAAGGTCAGAAACAGTTTAGGCACTGCAAGGAACTGATGGGTAATTCCAGCTGGCGTCCTCGATGCGCAAGTTCATTTTTAAAGAAGCAAACTTTAATAGGGTCAATGACATCTTGTTTCAGAAATATTAATGGATTAGGAACTGAAGGTCAGTGAATATTTTCCTCGGAGGGTCAGGATCAGTGCCAGAGACTGCAAATTTGCTCTGCAGTTATTTTTGTCGGGCAAGTTTTCGTACCTTCTAAAGAGAAAAGCAGGCAGAGAGGCAAAGAGCAAGGAAACTGTGGTTGAAATCCAGGTTTGGGACAAGGGAAAAATTCCAGACCTGGTTTTCTTCTCACTGAACCTCCCTCCCCGAGCGTGTCAAAAAATTTACAAAAATATCTACTTGAATCGCTTACAGTTAGTATTTAAAAATATAAGGATTTCTAATTGGAACCTCTCTTGTGCACTCGCCCTCTTTTACTGTAATAAACATCCTTAGGACTATTTGAAATGCTAATGGGAGAGCAGAGTTCCGGTGCCGTGGCGGCAAAACTGTTTCGCGGCGAAGTAGAGAAGCGAAGGAAGGGGAGCCAAGTGCCCGCTTCCCTAAAAGACAATCCCACAGGAGGCTCGTCGTCCCCAAAGGGCTCTCCTCTCGATTCCTCTACCCCAGCTGCTCCAGGCGCAGACCGCAGTGATTCCCAGCCGCTTCTTTCTGCGGGATACTTTCACGCCGCGATTTCGGTGGCGCTCGGTTCCATCTCCTAAGCACCCTGCCTTTCTCTGCCCGGGAAAAGTCGGAAGTCCTTTCCCGTTATAGGCAACATTTGGCCCCTGCCCGTGCGGGGAAGGGTTTCATGGGGACTTTTTAAAAAGCACCGCCTTGGACTGCAAAACCCAAAGCGCAGCAACCCGGCTAAAAAGTTGCAACTTGAACGTCGAAGTCCACTTCAAGAAAACTCTTAAGGACGAGGCGATTCCACCGAGGCGCTTCCCTCTTCCAGAGGAGAGGCAGAGGTGGGAGGAGGGAGACGTTCCCTAAGGAAGGGCGGGATCGGGCGGCAAGCGTCAATTCCTCCCGAAGGGCGAACAAGTCGGGAGACCAATCGCTGCCTGCCGAGGGAATTTTATTTGCCGGAGGCAGCCCGTTTGCCAATAGAAGTCCCGTCCCCCCCCCCTCCCCAGGCCGCCCGCGAGGGCCCCGAAGAGGCGGCTTTGCTCTGTGCCTCTTCCTCTCCCTCGATCCCCCTCAAGGGAGCAACCTGAGGAGCCCTGATCTCCGCTCTTGCTCGTCCCGAGCGCCGAGGCCTGAAAGGAGAAGGCGGCCGGCAGAGGACGATTTGGGTTAGTAGAGCGTCCGGCCTGTCCTCAGGCACCCTTTGCTCCGCCGGAAAGGCTCCACTCCGAGGGCCAATTTCCGCCGCCCCGCACTCGCCTTTCTTTTTCCGCCTCCCGGGCGAACCGGGTAATTGGCGGACGCGTTTTGTTTTGCAGTATCCATTTTCCCTTCGCCTTTCCGAACCACCCTTAACATGGCCTCAGGGCAGGCGCTGACTCTTCGGTCCCCGGCGTCGAATGGCTCGCTATTGTCGGTGTATCCAACCGTCAACGCCACCACACTCGGAGCGCTACCTGGCAGCCTCAGAGCCCACCGCGCCGGAGGAGCAGCCTCTAGGCCCCGCCACCCTCTCTGGCCTCGGCAGGGGCAGATCTAGCTCTCCCCCACCCACATTTGTTGAATAAAAAACAGGGTTGCCCTCGAAGGGCCAAAATGCTGAACCTCGAAGTTAGTAGTTTGTTGCCCCTCACCCTGTTCCCAGGGGCTTTTCCAAACTCGCAACATCAGTCTGACCCGCGGGAGCGATCGGGGTAAGGCAAGGAAGGGAAGTGAAAGTGAATCACTCGATAGTTTTCGGGGAAACTCTTAACGTTGTCAGCCAAAGGGAATGAAACTCTTTTGAGTCGTCCGCATTGACTTCTTTTAGTTATTCGCTTGCTTAAGTCGGCGCAAAGCTGCCGCTTCTTTGCTTGGCATTTCCATCCAGCTGCCCCGGGCCTGCCGAGAGGGGTAAAGAGAAGGCTCTTCTTCTAGATGTGGTAGAAGCTGCAAATTCAGCCCCGTCTGTCTCTTCTCCTTCCAGGAAGCCGAAAAGCGGCTCGTCTCGAGTCTAGCCCCCCCACCCCCTTTTTGCCGCGGAAGACTGGGGTTTCAAGCCTACACCCCGCATTCGATAATTCGGACGTCGACATTCCTGAGGAATTTTCAGCAACTTCCTCCGTAGAGATCCCCCACATACTCATCAAAACAATTAAATAAGCCAAGTCCAAAGGCAGAACTGGTGCAGTCGATCTATCCGCTTCTGGAATCCCCTACAATCAGGTGATCCTTCCCCCTGCATATTTTTAGTTTTCTGGATTCTTCCTGCCTTCCAGCAAACTTTCTTTCCTAACCATCTATTTTTCCCTCCACTAATCCTAATTTAACCCTGAACTGTCTTATTGTAACCTTTTGGAGAAGTGCAGGGAAAACAACAGCGCAGTGGTTCAAATGATACAAATTGATTAGTTTTACTTGGAGGAAATAAGAGTGTTCCTCTTACAACCAGAGTCAAGGAAGGATAACAGACTTGGGACACTGACAGCTGCGGGTGAGGCAGGAGCAAGTTGCTTTGGCAGAGATGAACAGCCTTAGGTGGGGCTTTCCACTTCAACTCCACACCTCTTCTAGTGGTTTGAGAAAGAGTGTCTTTGTCCACTTTCAGTTCAAAGCTCTGCCCTTGCATAGGGTAACACTCTTATGCAAAATTATTGGAAACAAGGCAAGTGCTAATGGAGAATGTGCTAGGTTCCCTGGCTAGGCCAAACAATGAGTGAGGTCTTGGTGGCTCTCATCCACTGAGCCAGGCTAGGAATGGAAATTGCAGAATGATCTGGGCATTACTGGGTTCCACTGATGTTTTTATGGGGGGATGAAATGCAATACAGGGATGAAGTTTTTGTCCAGCAAAGATGAACACCTTCTTGATTTCAAGAAGAGCCTAAAAGTGGTACCCCCTTTTACTTGTAGCCAGAAATGAAAGAATATCAGAAAATGTGTCTGTTTAATACACTATAATCTGTTTCAAGAAGCAATTCCTGATGCTTTCATTTATTTTAATGGCTTTATTAAAATATTTACATGCCAGTTATACTTTTATTATTGTGTCCATCTTCCAAATATCCTTTTAAACAAGATTCCATACTAAAATTTATGTGTTGGATATACCAATATAGGAATAATTGAATGATAAGATTTTAAAAAAGGAAGTTGTTGGTATCCCTAATGGCCATTACACATTCATTTCTGTAAAGGCAATCCTGCTCAGATGTGGATATACTGTGTCCAGGTTGACAAGTTTATATATGAAAAAGAATTCAGGTTTTTAATTTCTACTTGAATATGAGGATTTAAAGAAACCATAGCCTTTATTAAATTTCCTAGAAACAAAAGGCATGTATTTTTGAGCTTTTGTTGAAAAAGTGAGAAGCAAATGATACAGAGGATAAAATCAAAATTAAGGAAAAATGTGAGTGCATTTATTGAAATAAGTGACTCCCATA